TTTTTTTTTTTCCTTGATATATGTATACCGTTAATAGGCATTCTTCTTTCCACAACACCCCGAAATTCTCCAAAAAAAAAAAACCGAAGAAAACAATACTTGCACGTGAACCATAATTTTTGTTCCTTATTTGAGCAGGCAAAGAGCGATGGCAATCCTTAACGCTACACTCCACGAATAAGACCAACCACACCACGCCGCGTTACCGCCGCCCGCGGTACGCCTATGCCACCGTCCTCCACTCGTTGGAAGCCTACGTGTGCGGCGCCATCGTCTTGGCGCAAAGCATTCGCCGCACCAACTCCACCAAAGACCTCGTCCTCCTCGCCGACACCTCCTCCCTCTCCCTGTCCTCCCTCCATGCCCTCCGCTCCGCCGGCTGGGACGTGCTCCCCATCCACCGCATCCACAGCCCCTTCGCCGCCAAGGGAGCCTACAACGAGTGGAACTACAGCAAGCTCCGAATCTTCCAGCTCACCGAATACGACAAGATCATCTTCATCGACTCTGACCTTGTCGTCCTCAATAACCTCGACCGCCTCTTCATCTACCCGCCTCTCTCCGCCGCTGCCAACGACAAGTTCATGTTCAACTCTGGTGTGATGGTCATTGAGCCGTCCCTGTGCTTGTTCGAAACCCTAATGAGGTTGAGCTTCAAACTGGAGTCTTACAATGGCGGCGATCAAGGGTTTCTCAACGAGGTCTTCACGTGGTGGCACCGCCTTCCGAAGCGGATTAATACTCTAAAAATCTTTCGGAGATATCGAAACGGTAAAATTGAAAATGATCATGATCATCTAATTCCTGAGGAAGTTGATGCGATTCACTATCTAGGGTTGAAGCCGTGGATGTGTTACAAGGATTATGACTGCAATTGGGACAAGGCGGATCACCGGATTTTCGCGAGCGATGCGGCGCACCGGCGGTGGTGGGAAGTCTATGACGGGATGCCGGAGGAGCTGCAGGCGCATTGCGGGCTGACGAGGAAGATGGACGCGAGGATAAAGAAGTGGAGAGGGATTGCCAGGAAGGAGAAATTGCATGGTGGGCGTTGGAAGGTCAAGGTTAAGGACCCCAGACAGCACCATTATATAGGAGGATCATGAGAGTAATATATGCACATATATATATATATATATATTGTTGAGGGTGTTTGTATCAATGGACAAATTAATTTAAGCTTTTTGGAAGGAGGCAGCTCTTATAATAATTTTTTTTTATTTTTTTATTATAGATATATATCAGTAGTAGTTTTTCAAGGAAAAAGGAAATAGAGAAAGGTAATGACTATAAGTGTATAACTTAGGGAGTTTTTGAATGTCAATTGACTCATGATTAAGTTATGATCAAATAACTTGGAACCTTAGAAAACATTTTTTCATGACTTTCCAAAGCGTGAAAACATATTTTGGAGACAATCACGAAAGAATGTTTTGTATTCCATTCTTTTCAAGGTC